ACAGTTAGAAGATGAAAGAATCTTTCTGAAATGTTTCAGGGCCAACGGTACCACAGTACCACCCAGACCGGTGTAGAACTCGTTGATCAATCTGCTACGGAACAGTGTTACTGGGTTTTTCTTGCAAACCACAAACATCTTGTAACCTGTAGGTGAAATCTATTTCTCCATTTACATTTAGCTGAACCTGTCTGGGACTCAATAAGTGGTCAGGGAAAAATTGGATATGCATTGATTTGGAAGTGCTGACTGGAAACCAAGTAAAGATGTTAAAAGCTGAGTGACCATCATATTGACTGATAACAGACACGGGGCTTTGTGGGGTATTAAAGGTTCAGGAAAATCTATGTTCTTATTTAGGTTTGAACAGAATTGACAGTACAAAGGAGTGTGATCTACAAGACTGTCAGTGAATAAATACATTAACTCGGCTCAGAAGCTTCAGTAGTGTTGCACATATGAACAATGCCTGTGAGTTGCACCCACCTACTCAATGGTGGCATCCTGTGCTAATTACGAAGACTTGCGTATTCCCCCATTGTGGAATAAATAAGAAGGGACTCATAAATTATTATTATTGAAACTCTAAACTTAGTAAAGTCATTGTTAATGTGTTGTAATAAAAAGAAAACAACTATAAAACAAAAAAAAGGGTGCCAAGTAGTGTGATAATTAATGTGATAATCATCCAGTAAATCGCATTAACAAAATGTATTTGGTGACACAAAAGTGATCATTCAACAAGAAATAACAGATTTTGCCTGCTTTTAATTGTTTGCTCGCCAGGGGAAAAATAAAACTGTTGGACCGCACGCCATTATCTCTCTTTTGTTTTTATTTTTAGAATTTCTTGCACTTGAACGGTGAAATAGACGGAGACGAGTGAAAACACGGGTGACGGTGGAGAGCCGTATTGAACAGTATCTGTCCGGTGATTGTGTTCGAATCAGAGTGAGTGTCGCGTTCGCCTTGGAACCAAACAAAGCTGATGGATCAACCTGCAGCAACACAACATACGAAAGCCATTTATTTCTTCGCTTGCTCCGCAGCACGGGAACGTACGCACAGACATACGCACAACAAAGAGCTAAGGAAGACACCTGGTGTGT